GTTGTTTTTTTAATAATTAATCCTATTACAAAACTCTATAGAAATATCGTTTTGTTTTCATGTTATAACTAACGTATATCATATCTTGACATAGGGAATAAAACTTTCTCAATGTATACGTTGTTTTGACCTCTAGTCTGTAAGTTAATTCTAGCCTAAAGTAAGTAAAATACATTAAATGTTACAAAATGCATATCGATATAACACTAAAGTTAATGAATCATATCAAATATTAAAAAAAAACATTATTAAGAGAATTTTCAGTCGTCATCAGCGTATACCAGAAATCTAACAACAATAAAAAATTTACCTAAGGCCTTGATGTAAACAACAGTGATTAGTATGTCTTTGGTGACAAACCTTTGTATTTTGTACAGTGTAAGTGAATACGTCCTAATGTGTACTTCAAACTCAACAAAAAACTCCTAAGATAGGACATATTAATAGAAGAACATATATATATATTGGAAGAAAGGCGACGTTGTTTCCTAAGTTGACTCGGATATCATCAGCCTATCTTTTTTCTGCCTCATATGTCTTTTTTTAATTATTTTTATCGAATTTATACTATATTTGTCTGCTTTCTAGATTTATATATGCATTAATATCAATAAGTAAATAGACATCCATTCCAAAACGAATGTCGTTTCGTTAAATAAAACAACAAACATGAAACAAAGGATGCAATATCACTCTTACTATTTAGTGGATCTGTCTTTGCAATTTTTAAGGCAGAAATGCGGTCATATATGGTGTTTACAGTTTCTGAAAACTGGACTAGTGGATTGCACCCAACTTCCAGAAAAGAACATGGATGAATATTTCCCTAGAAGTTGGTTGTTTAGGACTCTTTCCCAGGAAACAATCAGGAATGGACCGCTCAATAGAGTTGATATCCGACGAATATCCTAGCAACTGAAGAATGGTAATGTGTCTTCAAGTCATCGTTTATTAACACAAGCTCAATGACCAGGAATCTCAATCCTGTGAAAACACTGTCTTGTCTAGTGAGATGGCCATTGGTGTAAACAGGTATAAGACATTGCTCGTGAATTGTGATATCTCGAGGTCCAGAATGATGACAAAAAACCTTGTCGAAACGTTCTACATTGGCTGTTATGTTAAACTTATATTAAAGTTTTTCTTCATTACCCATTCAAGCCGTCTCCAAGCATTATTAAACTTGAAGTAAATTCGTTTAGCATTTTTTATTTTTATAAATATTGATTATATTATTATAAATCACAAACATCAGCCAATGACAGCGTTTCTCAAACTGGGGTCCACAAGGATTCTTCAGGAGGTCCACAAGTCATATCCGAAATTCCATAAAAACGTATGATTTACAGAATAAGAATACACTTCATAATATTAAATCTATATGAATTAAAACATCTAATTTTGGAATACAGCTTTCCATGTAAATGGAATATTTTTACAAAACAAAAAAACATCGATATTTTGGGAGTCCACGAAAAGATTTTAAACTTAAAAGGGTATTTGCGGTTACTAACGTTTAAGAACCATTGGTCTATTAATAATTAATAAAAGAAATCAAAGTAGAAAATAAATTTAGACTGACCAGTCACTATTCCTCCTCCTATTGCAACTGCAAGCGTGGTAACTAGAGCAATGAGTTGGTAGCCAGCCTGAAGACTTGCAGTTCTCCCTTTTCCAGGTTCAATTTCCGTGTACTGGGATTGAATCTCTGCAAGTTTGCTGGAATTTGCTGCCGGTGACATATAACCAAATATTTCGTACAAGCTGATAGGAGTAATAACGTAAAATCAGTAGTCGTCACAGTTATAACACAATATATATATATAAAATTGTTTGTGTCTACAGTATTCAAACGTGGCAGTTTTTATACCTATCTGTTTTTCTTTTCTCTTCATACCTAATCGTGATGTTTGCATTTTGCTTCCTATCATTAAGTAGGTGAAATAACCGATAATATTTTCTTATCGTATTTGATATTAGGAATGTTAATGTTAAGTAAGAACAATCCTACAACGATGGATAAGTACATGAAATTCACATTTTTATACAACGATAATTAGAACGGCCATGTTAAATACTCCATCTTTAAATGATAAGCGCATATGTTAAGACAGACATACAGCATGAGACTTATGCTAATTTTGCGATACCATTCACACTGGTTGTGTTAGTTAAACCAACATAAAGCATAACAAATAGCCAGTGAACACACTGTATAACATGTTGAGTCAGCCAGTGAACACACTGTATAACATGTTGAGTCAGCCAGTGAACACACTGTATAACATGTTGTGTCAGCCAGTGAACACACTGTATAACATGTTGTAGTCAGCCAGTGAACACACTGTATAACATGTTGTGTCAGCCAGTGAACACACTGTATAACATGTTGTAGTCAGCCAGTGAACACACTGTATAACATGTTGAGTCAGCCAGTGAACACACTGTATAACATGTTGAGTCAGCTAATGAACACACTGTATAACATGTTGTGTCAGCCAGTGAACACACTGTATAACATGTTGAGTCAGCCAGTGGACACACTGTATAACATGTTGAGTCAACAAACATGTGACTACCATATAAAGAATCATAAATGTTTAAATGAGCTGAAAATTACGAAGAGTAGACTGTTTCAATATATATAATCAAATAGTTAATTAACTGGCTGTTATGTTAGCAAAATTGTATATTACAAAATGACAAAAATGGTTTGACATAAAGTTTAAACGAAAAATAAAGTAGTTTTTCTGTCTGATATAATCATATTAGGCTTACCTGTAACCGTAGTTGTCTTCTGAAGCCAATGACACAACAATGGCGCTAACCAATGCTGCGTAGATCCCAGGCATTCCGTGCAGGTTGTTGACTCCACACGTATCATGAATTCGGCAGTATTTGGCCAGAAATGGCTAAGGTTTTTTAAAATTTCAAACATTAAAATTAAGTAGTTCATGAACACATCATTCACTGACATCAATGCCTTATAGGACAAAACGTGGTTGCATACATACACTTTAATTAATCTTAATGAAATTGTGCTGTCTCTGGTAAAGCAACCAAACTATTTTCACCTACCTTGTAACAGCTTGTGTTATATTAATTTGCTTATAGTTTAAGACATCTTTAAAGCTGCAATTCAACGTAATGATACCCTACAGGCAAAAGAAGTTTTAACAATTCTAAGAACACCTTATGGTGACAACGTCATTAAAACTTTACAAAAGTTTAATGTTTTGCCTATTAAGAAATTTGCTTATATAATTCGCTTTAATAAGACTTAATGAATTATTGTTTAAAGTTGTTCCTTCGGAAAAAAATATTGTCAGAATATATATATATATTGTTGAATCGAATGTTAAGAAACTGCTTGAGTTAAAAATGTGCTTTAGATTAAAATAACAGAGGACGAATTTTGAAAATACTAATTTCGTAAGTCTGAACAACTAATCGTATTTTTGAGTGTTTCGTTTCCATACATCGATTATTCTTAATTGATGAGAGGATTAAAACATTCTTTTGTCCATTTAAAGTGCTTTGTAAAGATGGCCTCTACATGCGTGTTACTTAGCGCAACGGAGAGTTACGTTACTAAAGGTTTGTAAAAACATTAACCTTTTAAGTTAATGATTTTGTTTGTTTGTTGTTAAACACAAAGCTACACAATTGACTATCTGCACTCACGTTGTCCACTCTGAGAACACTAACCCTAGTTCTTAAACACAAAGCTACACAATTGGCTATCTGCACTCACGTTGTCCACTTCGGGAACACTAACCCTAGTTCTTAAACACAAAGCTACACAATTGGTTATCTGCACTCACGTTGTCCACTCCGGGAACACTAACCCTAGTTGTTAAACACAAAGCTACACAATTGGTTATCTGCACTCACGTTGTCCACTCCGGAAACTACTAACCCTAGTTGTTAAACACAAAGCTACACAATTGGTTATCTGCACTCACGTTGTCCACTCCGGGAACACTAACCCTACATACTACTGTCCCACCATTGAATATAATAGATTTTTTTTATGTATGAACGTGATACTAAAATCCAAACTCAGTATTTAAATTATACACTTCAAAATGCATACTGACTTATACATATTAAAAGATACATTGTCTCCTTCACTGAAAAATAATATACATTTTGGGGTGATAGTGGCTAAGGACAATAAGATTTTCTTTAAAAACAAAGTAAGATAAGTTTCACATGAGGGCGTTGTTTTTAATGTAAGGAAGTAACCGATAGTAATAAATATCCTAAAACCAATAACATCTCTTCCACAAAGACGTTATACAATATTCTATCTTTACAGTTAGTATATTAATAATATTTATGTGTTAATAAAAAAAACTTCCTTTGAAAATATTGATTTAAGAGTTTGATATTTCACGAAAGCTTTACGTTAGATCCTAGAAATATAAGTCATAGTTACTGCATTTAAAAATCAATCAAAGTAACATATATAGTGGCTGAAAAGATTATTCCCACTAATCGACCACTTGCTACAAAATGTCGAAATGAAATCATCTCTAGTAACGAAACTAAGGATAACTTGTTTGTCACGTTTCGTCACAGTATGACTCAACATGTTCGAATCATAGTCGTTATTAGAGATAAGATCGATCAATGAAAATCATCTCTAGTAACGAAACTAAGGATAACTTGTTTGTCACGTTTCGTCACACTATGACTCAACATGTTCGAATCATAGTCGTTATTAGAGATAAGATCGAGTTAAGAGATCACTATGACATGATTATTTCTTTGGACTCATTTTATTTTCATAGATATCCATTTTACTAATGGTGAAAATCGTTTTAAGATAAAATATATAAAAGTCTGTGATCAAGTTATTGTGTTACTAGCAGCCTATCTTCTTTGAACGCTACCTGTATATATGTCTATAACCTGGTTGTGTTGAATGGAGCAATTATTTTTCCGTTTACTGAAAAAATTGGTTTAAAATCATATTAAATCTGTTTGCCAATAGGATATCATTTAAATGTATATATGAAAGGTAGTTTACTAAATTCATTTATTTTGAAAACGCATCACTCAGTTCTTACTTAATTTATCGAAGTAAGCCACCGGACACCCTTCACGTGCACATTAAATAAAGCTTTACGAGTGTCACTAGCTATCATCAATGAACAGTTTTAATGTCATTATCGAAGTAAGCCACCGGACACCCTTCACGTGCACGTTAAATAAATCTTTACGAGTGTCACTAGCTATCATCAATGAACAGTTTTAATATCATTATCGAAGTAAGCCACCGGACATCCTTCACGTGCACGTTAAATAAAACTTTACGAGTGTCACTAGCTATCATCAATGAACAGTTTTAATATCATTATCGAAGTAAGCCACCGGACACCCTTCACGTGCACGTTAAATAAAGCTTTACGAGTGTCACTAGCTCTAATCAATGAACAGTTTTAATATCATTAAAATATCATATATCATCAGTAAGAAAATCACAATTATTGAACACTCTAAAAAAACTCAAAATATATTAATCTTAAAAATCATTCATAGGGAAATGATAGGGTAATGATTAATAAAACTAGATAACATAGAACATTAAAGATAGTGAAATTATCAATAAAACTGGATAACAGAATACTCACGGATAGGCAAATTTTAATAAAACTGGATAACAGAACATTCAAGGATAGGGAAAGTTTAATAAAATGAGATAAAACATAACATTCAAGGATAGGGAAAGTTTAATAGAATGGGATAAAATAGAACATTCAAGGATAGGGAAATTATCAATAAACTGGATAATAGAACATTCAAGGATAGGGAAATTTTAATAAAACTCGATAAAACAGAACATTCAAGGAGAGGGAAAGTTTAATAAAATTGGATAAAACATAACATTCAAGGATAGGGAAATTATCAATAAAACTGGATAACAGAACATTCAAGGATAGGGAAATTTTAATAAAACTCGATAACAGAATACTCAAGGATAGGGAAATTTTAATAAAACTGGATAACAGAATACTCAAGGATAGGGAAAGTTTAATAAAACTGGATAACAGAACATTCAATGATAGGGAAAGTTTAATAAAATGGGATAAAACAGAACATTCAAGGATAGGGAAAGTTTAATAAAACTAGATAACAGAACATTCAATGATAGGGAAAGTTTAATAAAATGGGATAAAACAGAACATTCGAGGATAGGGAAATTATCAATAAACTGGATAACAGAACATTCAAGGATAGGCAAATTTTAATAAAACTGGATAACAGAACATTCAAGTAATAGAATGAGAAGTGTAACTTTAAGTAAGAATATGTTTCGAAATATTCTGTGTTGAGCAAATAAAGCCTTGTAATTGTTCGGGGAAAAAAGTACGTGATCGGTTTCGTAATCTCAATAAACATTAGCCATGTAATGTAAAGGGTACCTCAGTGTAATTCATCGAAGCTTCTTAGTCCTAAAATATATTGTGTTTAAAAATATAATTTTCAGTGTTGAGAATATAACCAAACTACAAGATATGAAAAAAACTTATAAACTTTAATTTGTACGTAGATAATTTTATTTTCCATTTCCAAATCCCCAACGACTATTATTAAGTAAGCAGTAGCCTATAACTGAATTGAAACCAGCAAGTCCTCCTATTATCATTGCCAAAGGGGTTAAACATTTCACACTTACCGTAAGGAAATGATAGCCCATAACCGAGATGAAACCAGCAAGACTTCCTATTATCATTGCAAAAGGAGTTAAATATTTGACACTTAAATAAAGTAAGTAAATGATAGCCTCTAATCGAAATAAATTCAACAAGGCCTCCTATTTATCATTGCCAAAGGAGTTAAATTTTTCACACTTACCGTAAGGAAATGATAGCCCATAACCGAGATGAAACCAGCAAGTCCTCCTATTATCATTGC